TTTTGAAGCATAAGGACTCCTAGAAACAGCTCCAGAGGACGTCAAGGACCTGTCTTTGGAACAGTGTCGAAGAATCTGTAAGACACCGAAAAGTTACAACTTGACCAGTATCAGGCAACAACTTGTGGGGCCCATTGGGAGGCTTGAATCAGATACAGGGCCCTGCCTTCTTCTTATTGTGAGATATCTAGCGGCCGCTCAATGTTTGTCAGGTGTATAAGGCGTAAGCGCGCTGTAGCATAAATAGAAGGAACGACCAGAGGCACGGCCATCGTGAGCAAATACGGCTAATGCGACCCCGGATCGACAGCCCCAAGCCTGAACGCCGAAATCTTTACAGGTCCTATTTGAAGAGTATGAGAGCCTCAAGCTTGTATCGACATTGACGACCGTGAAGGTCGCTCGGCGCATCCGAGCAGCCCTAGAGGAGCAAGGAGCTCGAGATGAGCAGTCGCAGCCTTGCGTCTTGTCGTTCCACTTGTACGCTATCGTCTTTCCAACGTGGCTCGGGCTATCTTCGCCCTGCTGGGTGGCTGCAGGCGGATGCCCGCGGGCACGCTCGCGATCCCCGCGCAGAACTTGAAGAAAGGTACGACGACGACGACGAGGCAGCCCCGCTTTCACGTGAGAGATCTCTAGTACAGGGTCTATTATCGGCACGACGAACCTGCAGAACCTCATGAAGGAGATCAATGATGCGTCGGCCTTTGCCATGTCCGGGCTCCTACGTGGCTGACCTAGGGCAGCTGGGGGCGCGTACTAGTGGAGCTCAATGTCAAGTATCTCGAAAAGCATTGGCAGCTGAACGCGATCTTTGGGCTTTAGTAGAGCCTGCTTGTTCTGCCAGCAACGGCAATTCTGAGGTCTGTTATTTCAGAGCATGGAGGAAGATACAGAGCTGTGTGTATAGATTTCGAGCGCTTTTTCTTGGCCGTCGTGGCGTCCGGCGTCTGCCGTGGTACATGCGGCAATCTAATCTTGATTTGGGGCAATCAGCCGCTCCCTTTGTCGTTACCCACCGCCAGACATTACAAAACAAGCAACACTTTGTCTGCTAATTGCGCAGGCCTGCTATTTTTTTGGCATCTTTAACAAAAATGTCTGAATCCTCTGTGCCGCATTTACCTCCTCCAGGCGAAATGCTTCTCGTCACAGACGAGCTGGGCTCCCCGGCAGACTTTTTCCTCTACCGGAGCCTTGCGTCACATCTGAGGACCTCCGGAAAATCTACCAAATGTGTCATATTGTTCGTCTCTGGCAGTATCCAGAGATGGAAGGCCGTCCTTGCTAAATCTGTGCGTATTTGATCCTCAGTCGATGCCCGGGGTGATATTGAGTTTTATGCGATTCAGTAGAACGTCAACTTGGCCCAGCTCATCGGTTCACGGGCTGTGACATTTTTGAATCTTTCAAGTACACATCTTGTCCCACGAGATGATGGCGCTACGCCGTCGCTGACACCAGTATTCGACGAACTCCGAGATGCGCTCGGTGAAGCGAAAGACACTCTGGTGCTTGTAGACGACCTGTCGTCTCTGGAATGGATGGGGATATCAAGCCTAGAAGTGTCGAGGTTCGTACGGGCTGTATGCTCGCTATGCAGGAAGGTGCGTTAGTCACGCAAGTCATGTACCAGCAGGAATCTCCTGAAGGCTTGCACAGTTGAACACGTCCCTCATTTTGCGCCATCACATTGTCACCCCGGGTGAGCTGGACAACCTCTTACGAGTTCTGTTGCAATTATGCACGTACCGCGTCGACATTTTCCCGCTATCATCTGGGCGAAGTGGAAGTGTAAGCGGCCAGGTATATTCACCCGCTTCGTTCCCGGCCAATCACAGTAATCGACTTTTTTGCTGGCAGATTGCCCTGCATCTAGGTGCAGGCTGGGAAGAAAGAGAGTACCGACCAATCCCAAGGAGCAAAGCGCTGCTATATCGACTGACGGACGCAAGCGCAGTCTTCTTCGAACGAGGGACAGGGGCCGGAGTCCTATAAATACCCTAGACCGCAGCAGCCTGGCTACGTGGAACGTACCGTTACCGGAGATTACTGTAGTGCTGTGCTCCCGAAAGTACTCCGATTCACAACACGAATGTCCATGTATTCATCGAGGCTAGACTACACGGTCGCGAGCACTCGGCTGAACTCCATGAGCCAACGACCTAGGGATATACGAAACAGAAAGAGGGGGAGGCATAGTACAAAATTGGTAACGGGATGCTGTATAACGGAGACGGCAAGCCCAACCAGACCAAGGGATATCCATTCAAATCATATCTTCTCTGTCCAGCGCTGTTCTAAGCCTTGATCTCGGGCTTCTCCTCCGCGACCACGAGGGCAACTTTCTCATCGGTGTACTGAGGAGGCGGCACGAGCATCTCTTCGGCGTCCGCCTCGAATACCAGGACGTCGTGGACGTCTTCGTCATCGCTTCGGCGGGAGCTGCGGAAAGCCCGGGCGAAGAGAATGGCCATGACCCAGACCATCCTGAGGAGCACGCCAATGCCGCAACCTGTCCAATGGGTTAGGGGAAGAGACACAGGGAGGCGATCGAACCTAATCAGGCTTACCGAGGACGAAAGCGACTGCACGCCCTTCCCAAGGTCCCAGAACCATCAACGCCCTGTGGACACGGTGGAGGAACGAGGCCTGGAAGCGGTGGCGGCCGTGGCCCATACCGCGACCTGGAGCGACATGAATGACACCAGGCCCTGGCTGGAAGGGTACAGGCAGGATGTTGAAAGTCCCGTCGTTCTTATTGCGAAAGTTGTCGGGGCGAACTGGTATGGGCTCCATAGGTATACCTATGAAGGGCAGAGTTCTGAGAATTCCGTCGCTCTCGTCGTCGACGTTGTTGGGACGAGAGTCAGAGTGAATGAGAGGCAAGCCAAAGGCCTCCCTGAACTTGTTGGTAATGGTGAGGGCCTTGTTCTTGAACTTGGAGCAGGGATGGCGGCCGGCGCCAGGATGGGGTGTTATGACCTCTGGGAGGGGCGCGAAAGGTCTGACGATTTCGGCTACGAAGGGACGACCTTGATCATATCGAGTGTCGGTCGAGATTTCTTCTTTGGATGTCACGACGACCACGCGAATGGGGCTGGCTGTCGCATACTGAGCTGTAGATATAGTCAGTTGCCAGTGTCAGCAGAAGCAGATATGGCCGCTGGCCTCGTGCCACTTACCGAGGCTAGCCCCTGCAAGAAGCAGCGGAAATGCACTGAGGCGCATGCTCCGTCGGAGACAAAGGTAGGACTAAAGAGTTGGTGAAGAGAAAAAAAGCTTTGCTAGAGCCGAGTTCTTATACAGATGGTAGTATTAGGTGAAGAGCTTCACCGTCGAGCTGCCGCCTTTCAGGCGCCGGCGCCAGCTCATTTTCCCACGACACTCCGCACTGCTACCGTGCCATCACCCCGACATCCATCCGCCCCCCGACACTGACAACGCCGACCTAGAACAGCCTCGTTCTGACTTTCGTCACAGCGTTTCCATAAGGCCGCTCTCTGCGACGTTTACGAATCATCGCCTTGGGCGCCACCCATCTTGGAAAGCGCGGGTCCACTGGATTCATTGCCGCCTGCTATAAACTCGGACAGCGGCCTACAAGGCTTGGAGTCAGCTTGGAGTCAGTGTGTGGATCGCTTCTGTACCTCTTGCTAAGGCTGTACATGAGCTTACCATGCATGCATCTAGACCTGCCCGGATGTACGACTGAGAGACTGTATCCACGCCCTGTGAAGCAAAATGACGACCTCCTTCGAGGAGATTTTTAACAACTCTGTATTGGATGTGGTCACTCCCGAAGCATCTTTGGGCTTTCCGTGTCAAGATGATTCCGCTAGCTGGGCAGACTGGGTTGGACAACTCGAAGCGGAGAGCATGGATCGAAAGATGGCCTTCTTTGGTAAGGTACACACTTGCCACTGCTGCAATTCATGGGCTGTCACATATCCTGTGTATATGTACTGACGATATGGCTCTTCTAGACGAGAACTTGGAGGTCCTTCTAACGCTACGTTTTGAACATTTCGCGACGGACACGGAAGATACGTCGAAGCCACCCGCAGAGTTGCTGTCCTACCTAGCACACCTGCAAATCTCGTATGAAGCGTCGTATATCACTTCTATACCACACGCAACCTCTCCGTTGCTTGCAGATGCTCGCCCGCCTGTGCCTCCACGCTCGCATTCTATGCCGGGGCGCAACAAGCCGAGTCCTCTTGCTCCACTTCAACCATCGCTTGCTCCGCCGCATCCGTCCATATTCCCGCCGCACACCCCACATCCCATACCTTCGACAACGGAGTCAGATCGACAGTATGTCCAGGCCCAAGGCACACTACTTCGTGCTGGTACTTGGGGTGACGGCTCAGCTGTTCCAGACTCCGAGGCCTTTGCGCTCGTGTGGTCTAAGCTGCTGGGCTGCTGGATTGCCGTCTTCAAGATAGTGGTGCAAATTGGTAAGAACACACTTCCCCGCATATATACTTTACGTAGTCTGACTATACACTCTCAGCCTTTATACCCACCAAAGTTGCCGATCCTCTCCTGTGCTTGACCGTCTCCACCACGCTTCGTGAGAAGCCTGTACCTGTAACATCTGCCAGGAAGACCCTAACGACTCTCATCGAGGCCTCTGGCGAGCTTGATGTCCGCGATCCTACGACTCCTCTTGTCAAGTCACCAGGCGAAGACATGGATCTCTTGCATGGATTAGAGGAAGCGAATCTGTTGGATGGCTTAAGCGGTAAGCTTAACATCTAGTGTATAGCTCGCCCGATACTGAGTTCCGCTGTAGGATCAACTTTTGCAGATGCATCTCTGATGCTGCCATCCTCGCGTGTTGGGGATGCCGTCCGCAAGCAAGCGTTTGGCATTCTCACAACTGAGGAGACGCTAACATCCCCTCTGATGACCACCCCCGCCACACATCGTCCTCAGCATCCTACCTTGCGCAAGTCTTTCCGGAAGACGCTCCGCACCGTGTCTGGTTTCCGTGTGCGCATGCGAACGGTTTTCGTTCCGTACTTCATGCTCCCTCAGCCGGACAAGGGGCCACACAGGAGGCGTCGTGGCATCACATCGGGCAAGGATGACGACAGCGACAGCAGTGATCGCGATCTGCTCGATGTTCATGAGCGCGAGTTATTGGAGGCCGGAAGCGAAGAGCACACTGTCGTTCTGTGTGTTGAGGTTGAGAACGGCGGAGAATCTACGGCTGGGTTTTCCGTGGAGAATGTCAAGGTCACCGTTGGTGGCGAGGGTGCGCAGACGCGTCTCATCGGCTGGGGCGAGACTGGGCTCCTTCAGTCCGACCTAGTTTTTCCGCTGCTAATTGGCCCTTTTGAGCAGTACAACTTGCTCTACGCTGTCACATTCACTCGGTCACCCGAAGTCGACGAGTTCTCTCTAGCTAGGGGGCGCGGCCTACCTAGCGTACCGGCAATACAGGACATGCAGCGGACGGTTGTTATCATTATCAGTGGGAGGCCGTACGAGGTCATATCGGAGACACGGCTGGTTAGTGCGCCTCTCAAGCTCGAAGAGCTCGTATATCCCACAGCGACCTTCCCTTCCCGCTGGAACTGCATTCTTGACCTATCACCCCAAACCAACAATCGGCGTGCAAGCACCGTTCCTGGAGGTCACTCGCACCACGAAGCGATGCCCACTCCAGCATCTCCATTCCCTGGCGCCGTCACTAGCTCACGGCCTAGTTCCGTGGCCGTTCAACAAGGTGGCATAATTAGGCTTGGTACTCCTGGATCCACCAAGGCGCCTGCGCCTGCCGTCGCTGGTAGCAAGAGATTCACGCCCAGCGTGATGGATGCTCAGGCGAATACCACTGAGAGCTACATTGACTTGGGAAAATCTCGCATGCTCAAATCGCCTGTTGACTATCGTTCAGGGACATCCTTGCTCAACCCTGCAAACCAGCGCGATCCGTATGCTCAGTCGGGTTCGGGCCTCGCACAGTCTCTGCCAACGACGCCTGTTATTGGCCAGCCGTCGCTGAATCTCCTGACAAGACCCGGTTCGTATCTACCACCTTCCGCTACGATGAAGAACTTCGCTCGTACTCCAACAACAACTTATGGGCCGCTGAGCCCTCCCCTCCCCTCGGTTCCGCGGGCGCACTCTTACGGGCACGTCGCAGACGACAGCATCAGCTCACAGATCGCGGACATCATCCCACCAACACCGGCATACCCAGCCTTCCCGATGTCGCCTCCGCCTTCATCTCCACACTGGCAGGGCCCCATCGCGAACATGCAGTCTGGCGCCGTGGGTCCCAGCGTCGAGATCCGCCGCGAGAAGGGGCCAAATGCAGCCGGCGTTCCGCGCACGCCGGGCCCAACGGTGAGTGCCGCGGGCGGGTTCGTGCAGATGCAGACTCAGGGCGAGACGCTGCGCGACGTTGTGGCGGGCGACGGGCCTGGGGAGCCCATCGTCGTGAGCGTCGGCATGCTGTGCGACGGCGAGGGTGACGGCGCCGCGACGGGCATCGGCAAGATTTACCCGCTCGACCGGTTCACGCTCGACATCTTCGTGTTCAACCGGTCGTCGTGGACGAGGCGCTTCGAGGTCAGCTATCCCGATCGGAGGAAGCAGCGGAGGGAGAAGATGTACCTCGAGGCGGCTGCGGGCGTTGACAGCAAGACCGGTGGTGGCGGGGATGCGCCCGGTATTGTACCGTTGGCGAACCGAGTCAGGATTGGGTGCGTAGCATACCGTTCTTGCGTGTTTATTGCTCTAACCCCCGCTTCCTAGTCCTCTGTTGCCCTCGACGTGCCAATCGGTCAGAATGGATTTTCTGGCGATGACACCTGGAGTACACTCGGTAGACACCCTCACGCTTACTGACGTCCAGAGTGGATTCTCTATGAACCTAAGGTGGGTCAGCTGTTCCCTCGGTGTCCTCCGTTTATTGACGGCATGTGTAGGTCTGTTATAGATATTGTGGTACACGAACCCGAGCACTCACAAGAGGCGAATGGGCCGAGCACGGCAGCCATCGCAGTAGCTTAATGCAGTGTTGTTGAAGTATATGTTAGGACAAATTGAGATTGAAAAGGAAATGGGATAATCAATGATGATGGCAAGGAAGTACATACAAAATTGGGGAGAATATTGATAAAATCCAACGGCAAAGACCTTACAGATGAAGAGACGATAAAAGGATATGCGGGGTCGAGCTTATTGCCATTGAGCCTTGTCCCAAGCGGGGTCCTGCAAGAACGCGCAGAGCACCTTGCTCCCGGTCTGTCGACGCTCGCATCAGCATATGCTACTATCAAAGCAGAACTTGGGCTCGCCTGGAGCAGAGGGTGCCCGGCGACAATACTCAAAAAGCGCTCTAAACCCTCCCTTCGGGCTTCGATGACCTCGTCGGAGAAGCGGTTGGTGAAGACCTTGCCTGGCAGGGGTGGAATATTGACACGGGTGGACTCGCGTTCTAGAATGTCTCGGAAGGCTTCGAAGTCAGAGTACCGCCTGCGAACAACTGAGTGGCGGAGCTTGAAGGCAGGGATGTTGGTCTATGTGGCGAGTGTCGGAGGCGCTTAGACTAGGAGGGGGTAAACAAAAGCTGCGGAACTGACCTTGCACACGATTTCGTAGTCCGTGTACATCTTGCGACCGAAGCCTACAGTTCCCTTCAGTGACAACTAAAGCTTAAAACAAGACCTACACATACCATGTGTCTGGGGATTCCGAACCTCAATCTCAAGAAAACTCTCGGGTACACTGTACATTTCCTCAACCTATCACGACATGTCCTGTGCGCGTTTATGGTTCGTCACTTGGGCGATTGAGAAAGAAATTGCCTACGGTTTGCTCCCGTCCGTCCAGGCGCGGCTCGTCAAAAACGCTGCTGCGTGCAAAGGGCGAAACGGTGGTCATTGTGCACGATTAAGCGGTGAGTGATCACCCGTGAGATAAAGGGAAGAGCCAAGATGCAACTGAGCGCCAGCAACTGCGCTGCGGTTACACCAAGGTTACACGGGTTACTGACCGTGGTAATATCGCTTCAATCTCCACTACTATTATTTTACTATCGGCCCGAAATGTAGTGGCCTTCTATCCTCCCTCGTCTTATATATCCATTGACTACTCTTATTTCGTAATTCTCTCTAATCGAGTTTCTCATGATAGTTGCTTCCTCTGCAGGCTAGTGGACCTTCCGGCGAATATGCCGGGGTCCTGCTAAACCGACAGAACCGCAATCACAAAACAGCCAGTGCGGAGCGCAGGGAAGCAACCTCTTACATATAGTAATATAGCTGATACCGTACTCGTACCCGGTCACTGGTACGGTTTGTAACTAACAAAACTCTCGTGCGCGTGGATACCATGGGAATGTGGGAAGTGGAAGGTACAGTGGGCCATCGTGCGCTAGCCCTGCCCATGGTCCTGCCACAGCGTCGTCTCGCCCGCCACAAAGGCGGTCCACGGCTAGAAGGAGGACGAGACGCACAGGATGGAGGCACCAACCTTCGTGGCATAGACACGGGTTCTCGCGAGATTGATAATCCCTCCGCATAGACATCCAGTGCTTCAGGAGACGTATTCTTTGGCTTCATAACGTCCCGGGCTATTTGGGGCAATGAAATCTTGTCGTAGGGAAGTCGCCATGAGAGACGCAGCCTTCGAGCTGCGCGGTAAGACCGTCATGCCCCACCGCGCAGCGTCAGCTCCTTCGTCATTGCCTCGACAAACGCGCGCTTGGTAGCATTGAGCAGCCGGATGGTAGAGAAATCTGCCAAGCTCGCGTGGATGTCTGCCTGTGGAAACACACTTCTAGCAGGATGCCAGTCATGACCTAGACGCGGGTGGTACACGCTAATGCGAGACTCGCTAACAAGCGCACCAAAGCAAGGTTGCTCACGTAGCGACTATGGGTATACACGCGGAAACTAAAACGACAGGAAGCATGGACACGGCAAATAGGAGATAGTTAAGGAGTGGGAAGAGCAGAACGACGCATGAGGCAATAGCCAGCAGTCCTAACGAGGTGAGCAGACGATCTTGTGAAGCGCTGAAAGCCAGTTTCGCTGAGCGGAACCAGCCGCGAACGTAGCTGCCACGAAGTTAATAGCTTTCGTAGCTCTTCAAAGCGCGACACGACTTCGTCGATCGTAGGACGCTTCGTTGGGTCGTCTTGCACCATGTCGTTGACAAGGGGAGCGAGGAATTCAACTCCATGGGACACCTGCATCCTACATCAGACAGGGCTTCTCGTGCGCCACGGGCACATACCTGAAGGAAGCATTCTCTGATCATGTTGCCGATGTAATAGATGTCTGTGGGGAACGGGTTATAGGCACGATCCTGACCCTTGAATTCTGGGACAGTCTTGTCGCCGCCAAGGATGGGATAGTCGCGCGGGGGACCGTCAGCAGGGTCATAACTACGCGACAGCCCAAAATCTATGAGGTAATATTTTGTCGGCTTAAAGGTACGGCTGTAGTGCTTCGGCTTAGACTTGAAGTCTCTCGTGTACCGGGGGTTCTGTGGGTGGAACAGATCCGGGAATAGACCTGCTGGGTCCATCATAATGTTCAGGTCCATGCAGTCGCTGTAAAACTGATTTAGACCATGAGAGGAGAGACAAGAATTGGGTTACCGATGGGCAACATGATTCTGGTGCATGAACTGCAGGCCCTAGAGCAGAAACAAATCTTGAGCCTTTTGCACTCGTGTGATGCAGGATACTCACTTCAAAAATTTGTCCGAAGCACTCTATGACTTCACCTAAGGTATTGAAGCGAGGACTGTTGAACGCACGTAGAAGGGGCATGACCAGCAGGAAGATATCCTCCGCGTCTGGCACGGTGAGAATCTCAATTATAGGAACGCAATGGTTCCGAGGATTAGAGACCAAAGGTTCACTTGAGAACTTGGTAGTTATCTCCACTTCGCGAGGATTTTCTTGGACGAATACCCTCTTCAGCATGACGATCTTCCCGTCAGATATCCTGGTGGCGTCAAGCAAGTTTATGCGCTATGACAAATCAGCGTGGAACAGAAGACAGTACACGTAGTTTTAAATACTTACTGGCTGAAGTATTCCGTCTTCGCGGTTCCAGGAGAAATACTTCGTACCCTGCCATGAGGGCACCCAGTCTGGACGGTACCGGGGGCGAAGCATGTAGCCTTTGCTCTCTAGCCATGGCTGATGGTCGCGCCAGAAGAATTCTTGAGGCTGCAATTCTCCTGGGTCGCTTTTCTTCGATGCTACCGGGGCACCCTCACTCATGAGGGAGTGTGTATGTTTGTCGTGCCGACGGAGAGAAGCCAGAACGATGCAACCATTATTGTATTCCCTCGCGTGTAGAAGACGCCCGTCAATGAGTGCAAACAAAGCCCAACATCACGCGTTCCGCCGGCCCTCTCAAAGCGCACATCACACGGTGCCAATGTTCGGACGTAAACATCCAGCAGGTGCACTGCACTGTGTAAACCTGGTCGCCATGCATACCGCCACAGACCTCCAGAAGTTCCTCACTGTCATTGTGTTCGAAAACGTAGGCCGCTGTCAAACTACAACCGACGTCGTGAGGCGCTGCTCAGATAGCAGGGTATTTGTTTCCGCGACAGTATAGATACCTACTCATTCGTATTGCTGGAACGCAACCTAGATCCCAACTCTACTCCTCGTTCGATGGCACTCCACATTAGCGACGACTCAACGGCTATTAGCATTGCCAAACTTGCTCTAGAAGTTGGCGCAGACGCTACAAATACTAGTAAGGGTATTCATGCAGTGACAAACTTCTTCGGGAAGGAGGAGGCCACCAAGAACCTCCACCAAGGCCGGCGCTTCCTTTGCGAAGGCATGGATACCATAGACAGAGACAGACAAGTCATAACTACTACCGACCTGTGGCAGCTTCAAGGCCAACATCAACAGTGCGGTCTTTCTTTCGTAGCAGTTGGACGCTACTGATATTCTTTTCACGTACTGAAGAGCACAGGGTATGGGAGACGAACTAGAAGCGAAATTGTCGAAGCCATACCCATTCTACAAGAAAGTCATCAACCCACTGCGCCCTGCGCGGCGGAGGAAAGAAGGGAAAGCGTTCTGCCAGTATGCGGCTAGTTGAGATTCCAATGTGAAGGCAGGTTTCTTCTGATACTTGTGTCATATCTCAAGGCTTATCATCTATTGTAGAGGCTATCAGCCCGTGGGCGAGAGCAAAGGCTTGTCAATGAGCTACTTCAAGCTGTTGAAGAGACTACGCCCAGTGATGGCCAGCAGCACGAAGGTGAGTTCGCATGACGCCTCCGTCGCATACATAATGAACCAGAGGACTACAGTGTTGACCGCACACACGAATGGCTCAGAAGTGACTATAGCCATACAAGATGCTAGTGGCGACGGCGGCGGGTCCGCCCAGCTCACGGGTCGGTCTGCCATTGCGGCCGTTTCAGGTAGCATCGAACCACCGTCCATTTTGCAATTATTGAGGCAGCCCTTGTGCAGGTTTCGGCTTTGCATCCTCGTACGCTCCAGGCGAACTCGAGTATGTTACTGTCAAAAGGAGGATAAGTCTTGCGAGCGATATCGTTCGGAATCCGTGGGTATGTGCCACCTGATCCGACGGATTATCGTCAAACTGTCCGGCTGAACTATCTCCAGGAAGATACCCCCGCCTCATCTTCATCTTTATGATGCTCATTCGCGCCACGCGCGTGAAACGTATTCTCCCTTCTTACTCGCTGTTGTTCTGCGTGGCTTGTACGAATGCGTCATATCATCGGTATTTATCTCAAACCGGGCTAGAATATATAAAACTCTGTAAATTGTAACTGTGATACACAGCCTGAGGATCACGACAGCTTCGCTGAAAGTCTCACAGCTTATGGTACTCGTGGAAAGACCGAGTTAGACATGATGCAAGATGGTCCCTTTTGTTGGGTTGTTTCAGAAAATTCCAACGCCCATAAACACCTGCGTAAGCCGGCAAACTGCTTCCGCAAACATAGCGTGGCATTTTCCCGTTCCACTCGAACCCCTTCGGGAGACAAAGTCACTTGCGGCCACCAAGTCGACATCGTTGCATAGGGCACTGCTACTGCTTTACGGCTCATTATCCTCGACCGTGCAGTCCTTCTGCTTCTGGGTCCTTCTGCGTCTTCAAAACAGGACCTACCATTATTGTTCTCTTGTTGGAGACAATGCTCATATGCTCCCAAGCTGTCAGGTCTTCACTGCACGATAGCGAGAGAATCTGTTCAGTTCCTGCGTTGTTAGACCGTGGTCTTGCTCAAATTTGAAGTCAGTGATTCGGACTCGGAGTCCGCCGGGGCTATTCTTCAGAGTAGAAGTATATATCGAGCCAGTATCAAGCGTATCAGCCGCCGACACAATAAGCAACAGGCTGCCGAAGGAGGCTTAGCATAACAACGATGCCGAGCATCCTCGACCGAGTGTGGAAGCAAAACGGATACTTTGCCTCATAAGACACAAGATCATTCCAGCGCCCGGATTTAGGCTCAGGATCACTCGCACCGAGATCCGGAAACTCGGTGACAAGAGCGGGCATGGCCGCGCTCCGAGTGGCACACGGGGGGTCGCTATGTTGCCTTTACTCGTCCTTCAGTTATTGTCGCCGAAGAGTCCGCTGGTATCGTTTTTCCATGACGCTACTGGTACTTCTATGACGGGAACATCGGATACGGACATCCTCATCATTATACTTCACGACTATGACTTCCGAGACATCTCCAACCCGGCAGGTGAGCGGCCCTAGGCAGTTGGCGGCCCCACACGGGCTCAGACCGCACGACGTGTTCTGGAGAGAACATTGCGAATGGCTCCGAGAGAAAGGTTATGAGCTCCGCCCGCGATACAAACCAGGGTGGTCGCCTTCGTCATCATCACAGACCACGAAGACGCTCGAGAGGGACTTTGACGAGGACCGTGCTATGGTGAGCATTACGCCGAGCTTAGCTGGTGTAAGTACGGATCTCTGAAATCCATGCCAAGCCCGGAGACATCCTCGACGCTACACGCATCTCAGACGGGCGTGCTGTTGTACTCAGGAAGGTCTCGAGACACGCCGACACCCAGAAGCTCGAGGTGCACCAGTATCTCGCGACATGGCCGCTCGTCTCGCACCCAAAGAACCACTCTGTGCCCATCTTGGACATACTGCGGGTGCCAGGCGAACACAAAACAGTGCGCATACTGGTGATGCCGCTGCTGCAGCCGTTCCACGTGCCGGCCATGCAGACCGTCGGCGAAGCAGTCGACTTTTTGGGTCAGGTATTCGAGGTATGCGGCACGCCTTCGCAAGGTGGAAGCAATCTTGCTTATCGCTCGTGCCAAGGGTCTGCAATTCATGCATAGCTGTAACATCGCGCATCGGTATGCTCCACTTTGACCGTGTAAAGCTGATCTCTTATGCCGTCAGCAGCAACTGTTCGGACATCGGCATCATGCAGGACCCCGAGCCTCTGTACCCCAGTGTCAAACGACGTCGGACTTCTCGTGTGAAGCGGGCGACGCGAGGCTCAGAGAGCACCCTGCGGCCAGTGCGATACTATCTGGTCGATTTCGGGCGGTCTCAGAAATACCAGCACGGCTCACGCTTTCACGTTGCGAGCCAGGTCTCCGTCGTCTCAGATGCGGCAGCTGTCGGAGTCGACGACCCGTACGCGACTGACATCCGCTGCCTGGGCGAAACGATCAGTGAGACGTTCCTCGAAGTAAGGTCTACGCTTACCGTCCCGCGTTTTCTTGAGCCTTACGGCCGTGGCACACAGACCATGAACGGCTTGGAGTTCCTCGCTCCCCTCGTGGCAGACATGACCAAAAACGATCCTGCAGCACGGCCTGACATGGACGCCGTCGTCGCGATTTTTAGGAAACTCAAGGGTAGGCTTCACTGGTGGAAGCTGCGATCACGGCTCGTTCGCAAGGACGAGCACGGTCTGCCGCGGATACGACGGGGTGTGACGCATTTCTTGCGGATGTTGGGATACATCGTAGCAAGGCGGCCCGCGGTGCCTTCGGTTACATAGACGAGCAGGCCGCCCGGTATAGGATCACAGTGGGAGTAGGCGTCTATGCGGCGCGCCACAAAGACACTTTGATGCAGGCTTTAGGGTATCG